CGTCTTAAGAACAACAACATAAACACTCTTTGCAAAAAAAAAAAAAAAAACACTTACAACTCTGCACTTCAGGATCGAACCCAAACCATCCTCTCCATAAAAGAAATAAATTCCGGATTCCCACCAATAATATCAAGCCAGGCAGGGGGACTTACTCAAGAAGATTATATCCTTGCATATTGAAAGATTTCGATCAAGCAGGGGCCGTGTCGAATTGGAATCTCTGATGCGCCACGAAAGAATCACTCAGAACCGATCGGCTGGAGATTCGAGAGTAAAGGAAGCTTAGAGTAACAGTTGTATGATGCAGGAATACCGCAGCAGTTGTATAATGTATAGATACTATGCAGGTGTATAATGTATAGATACTATGCATAGATAATATATAGATACTATGCAGGTGTATATTGTATAGATACTATGCAGGTGTATAATGTATAGATACTATGCAGGTGTATAATGTATAGATACTATGCAGGTGTATAATGTATAGATACTATGCAGGTGTATAATGTATAGATACTATGCAGGTGTATAATGTATAGATACTATGCAGGTGTATAATGTATAGATGTAGAACAGTTGTATGATGTGTGAATTTGATTTATGGATATAGCAACAGTTGTATGGAATATGAATGTAGTAATAGTCCCAAGTTGTATGAATATAGCAACATTTGTATAATTGTGTTCTGTGAATGAAGGATCTCCGGACTGGTGGCTGTGAAGAAAGGGCCAAAGACCTTAACATGTTAATATTTTGAATTTGTTTGTTCTGGTGTTATCGTTGTGTTCTGTCTGTTCCTTTTCCTATATTCTTTTTCTGTCTATTTCTGTCATTCTCTCACTCCTTCTGTGGCTATACTTCTCCCAATCAGTATTATTTTCCTCTCTTCCCTTTCTTCCTACCTCTCTTTCTCTCTCCCTCTCTCCAAATCTTACCTTCTCAGTATCTTCTTCCCGAAATCGCCGAACCTCTCTCTCTCTCTCTCTCTCTTACATTCTCTCTCTCCCTCTCTCATTCTCTCTCTCTTTCACATTCTCTCTCTTTTTCTCCCCCCCTCTCTCTCTCTCCCTCCCTCTCTCCCTCTCCCCTCTCTCTCTCTCTCTCGAACAAGTCGAGGAAAGTTTCGTCACCTCCAGAAAAGGGAGAAGATTAACACGTGAGGAGCGCCTGACGTTCAAACCAGTACGTCTCCAGGTAGTATATTTAAAGCTCACATGCTGTCACCCTGATGCAGAGGAAGAAGATATAGAAGACTTTCTTGCTTAAAAGTTTGAAGATATGTATGATGCAAAAACATATAATACAAACATGACGTATTAGTTTTATTCTAGTATCACAGTATCAATTAGAGGCAAAAATATAAACCCAGAACTCTATGATTATGTCCTGTGAATAAAGGATCTTTGGACTGGTGACTATGAAAAAAGGGCCAAAGACCTCAGTATGTTAATATTTTGAATTTGTTTGTTCTGGTGTTAGCATTGTGTTCTGTTTGTCTCCTTTCCTTTACTCTTTTTTTTATTTGTCTATCTCTGTTGTTCTTTCACTTCCTCTGTGGCTTTAGTTTTCTTTATCACTATTTTTTCCTCTCTTTCCATTCATCCTGCCTTTCTCTCTCTCTCTCTCTCTCCTACTATCACCTTCTCAGTCTCCTCTTCCCGATATGGCCGAACCTCTCTCTCTCTCTCATTCTCGCTCTTTCTTTCTTTCTCTCTCTCTCTCTCTTACATTCTCTCTCCCTCTCTCTCTCTCTCTCTCTCTCTCTCTCGCTCGAACAAATCGAGGAAGGTTTCGTCACCTCTAGAAAAGGGAGAAGAAAAACACGAGAGAGCGCCACACATTCAAACCAGTACAAGGTGCAGAACGTCTGCAGGTAATATATCTAAAGATCACAGGTTGGCACCCTGACGCAGAGGAAGAAGATATAGAAGACTTTCTTGCTCGTAAGTTTGAAGATATGTATAATGCAAAAACATATAAGACAGACATGACGCATAAGTTTTATTCCAGAACCCTTCATAAACTCAGATATAAAAGTATTTTGAACAAAAGCAAGTATAAAAACGACCAGCTTGTTTGCAGCCGTCACACAGTCAGCAAGACCAAAGGTCAAATCATGCAATTCAATCAAAATGCAACATATCAATGTGCAATCTCTCCTTGGGCAATTTGAAGAAATTGAAACGATGATTTGGAAGAGAAATATCAACATCCTTTACAGTAGTGAAACAAGGCTTCATGAAGAAATGCCAAATTATTTAATTAACATACATTCTATCTAATGGGCTAAACACACACACACACACACACACACACACACACACACACACGCACACACACACACACTTCTCCCCATAAAACCAAAATGATTAGATTTTCCCCCGCTCCATGGATAAATGACATCAAAAGAGCTATACATGGCCGAAATAACGCTCACAAATCTCTCAAAACGAACAGAGCCGTCATGCTAAAAAATACATATCAAAACATATATCCAATCTGCAAAAACAAATTATTTTCAAAATAAGTTAAATGACGTCAAAGAAAACACTTAAAACATTAGTACCAAGTAAAAAAGCACCACGCAGACACTTCCTTAGATTTCTTAATTAGTATAGAACATCTTAACGACTACTTCGCTATTACTGGCAGACTCGCTTATGAACAGACAGCTGCTTCCTTGGTCCCACAAACACCACTAGGACGAAGCCTTCAGCAAATGCTTTCAGACCACAGCCAATAGGAGTAGAAACAACAGTCTTAACAATAAAACACTGACGCGAAACAAATGCTGTAGGAGTGGATGTCATCGCTTTTCGATTCATCAAAGAACGCTTACTCACAGTTGCATTCTATTCAGCTGTCATTATAAATACAACTATAGTCACTGGTACCTATCATCACTTTGGAAACATGTCATCATAGCACCTATTTTCAAATCAGTAGGTGCAGGACAAATGAACAATTATCGTCCTATAACTCTACTCCCAATGATATCTAAAGTGCAAGAAAAAAAAATGTTGTAAATCAACTATTAGCATTCTTAGAATCGAATAACCTTATTTCCGAAACGCAGCTTGAGTTTAGAAGCTAGCTATCCACTTAAACAGCATTATTAAAAATCACAATTAATGATAACATAGACATGAATCAAATAAATCTGTTCACATTTTGTGATTTACCAAAAGCATTTGGCAGTGTCACTCATGAAATCCTGCTTAACTAAATGAAAAATCATAGAATTGGTAACTATTGGTTCAGAAGTTACCATTCCCCAAGAACGCAGTAAGTCAAAAGTCGTAATGATATGTCATCTAAGAAACCAGTCTCTCTCGGTGTCCCACAATGTTCCATATTTGGTTCGATCCAATTCACTATATTCATTAACGACCTATCAACCATTGTAACCTTGTCTCCTTGTTCAGTATGCCGATGACTCTCAGTTTCTTCACGTTGCCAATGTAAGCAATTCAAATGAACTGATAACAAATACTAAGATACTTACAGAAGGAAAGATGTATTTTGACAACAATGACCTCAAGCTAAATCCTAATAAATCTCAATGCCTTTTTTAGGCAGTCGACGAAACAGCCAAAATCCCCATAAACACAATCATAGATTTCCGTGAAAAATATAGGAGTACACATAGACAGATACACGGGGACACTGGCATACTTAAATCACATAAAATAGAAAGTCCCAACTGAAACGAGAATTACTGCTGTACTAACCCTTGCAGTCAGCATTATAAACTACTATTCCAACACATGGGGCTCTACCAACAAAACTTTACCTTCAGAGTTGCAATAAGCAATGTGAATAAACATGACCACACAACCCCCCCACCAAACAACAAATATGCAAATTTGACACGCATACTCATTCATAAATTCATAAAGGGTAACCATTCTCACTGGCTAATGCCTCTACATACAATTGGTAAAACAACAGGCATTCAAACCACACATATTAACTCTCTGCGCGTCATGGAAACATACATGGAAACAGGCCCCCGCAATCTACATATTCAAGTCCGAGGACCCGAAATCTGGAACAACCTACTGCAAAATATTAGAAACATATCTTACTGAATTACTTTCAAAAGGAAATTAAAGGAGCGTCTTTTAAATTGCCAATAACATCACGTATTTGAATGCAATGTCAAACCATGTACCTCTACTTCTTATGATGTGACCATCTTATTTTATTTCATTTTATAATGTATTTAGTATTGTTTCTACTTATTCTGTATTATTGTACGATATAACTATGTAAAAAAAAAAAATTATAATTAATGGAATAGTGTTTTGACTCTCTCTCTCTCTCTCTTTCTATCTCTCTTGTCTTGTTCTCATTCTCCTCCTCGACCTTCCTTTCCTACCCTCTTTCTCCCTCGCTTTTTACTTTTACTTTATCTATTTCCCTCCCATCCCTCCCTCCCTCTCCTCCTCTCCTCCCCTCTCTCTTTCTCCCTCTCTCCTTTAGTCTTTCTATTTTCTCCCTCTCCCTATCCCTTTCACTTTCTTTCTCGCACTCTCCTTTACCTCCCCTCCCCTCCCCATCATTCCTTCTTCTCCCTCTCCCCTCCCCTCCCTCCCTCCTCCTGTCAATCTAATATACCCCTCTTCTTATTCCTCTTATTATCACCTCTCCCTCTCCCTTTGCCTATCCCTCTTCTTCTCCCTTTCCCTTCTCTCCTCCCTCTCTGCCTCTCACTCTCCTTCTCCATGTCCATCTCCCTCTCACTCCCCTTCCCCTCTCCCCCCCCGAAGCCAACGCCCACTCAAAATCCCCACAGAGCCAGGGGTAAGGATTAACAACCGCGTTCGAACGAGTAGGAGACACGGTTCACAGATGCACGAGATGTTAATCCGAAGCCCGATGGATGCTAACCGGATGAAGCCGCCGACGCCCACCCTCAACTCGCCCCCCCCCCCACACCGGATGCGTTTCGCTCGCGTTAAATTGTTGTCGAAGACTTATAAAAAGGGACAATGCAGCGTCCCAAGGCTGCAGTGTTCTTCGAGAGGCTGGTGAGACGCGAGGCAGGTTGGTAGCTTTGGTTTCGTTCACGAGGTTCCGAAGTTTCGAGTATTTTGCTTCGTGGGACTGAAATGTGCGAATGTGCTGGAACGTTTTCTGACATTTCATACATGTATACCGATATCAATTGCAAACGCATGTACGTTCATGGAAACACAGACCCACACACACACATACGCAGACACACAAATACACAAAAGCACACACACATACGCAGACACACACAAATGCACACACACATACGCAGACACACACAAACACACACACACATACATGCATCCCCTTGCACCTTATCTACTTTGTCAAGAGTTTATATTTTCTTTCAGGAAAAGTCTTCAGTCCATCGAAACTCCGAGAAGCCATTATGTTGAACCGGATTCTTCTGCTGTGTCTTGCGTGCGTGGTCTCTGGCCAGGACGACTTCTTCGATAGATATGGATACACCAAGGTAAGGATTTAGTAAAGTGTTCGTTTTCTATGCCATTGTGTTATCTTAAGTTACTACCGTCCTATGCTATTACGGCTAGACCTTATTCTACTACTACCACGTTTATTAGTTTTACTATTGTTCCACTAGTAATAGTACTGCTGTTACTATTGCTATTGTTACATGGGGACACTGGATAGATAGTAGATAGGTAATGTCTATGGAGCTAGTTAGATCCTAGTTGCACACTTCTTTTAGTGGGTCGCGTGGCATGGTTGGTTTAGTACTGGCCCTCCGGTTTCATACCCAGAGTGACCTAGGTTCGAGGCCAGGTCAGGGAGGATTGTTATATATACATATCAATGCGGCATTGCATTATTCCATCTTTCATTGCTATTGTTGCTACTACAGCTGCTAATTTTGCCACTGCCACTACTACTACTACTACAAAAATTACTGCTACTAGTTCTACCACCATATAATATTACCACTCTATACTGGAGTTAGTACGACTATTGCTAATATTACTACTACTACTCTTACTCATACCACTACCACTGATTTTACCGTAATTACTTTAGAGATTATATCAACCCGCTATCATCATTATAAGTAACCCCCCCAAAAAAAAACAACAACAACAAAAAAACACACACTCACTCACTCACTCACACACACACACACACACACACACACACAGACACACACACACACACACACACACACACACACACACACACACACACACACACACACACACACACACACACAAAGTACTCCCAACCAATTTGAAAAAAACAACAACACAAATCCGACATATTTGCATCTTTCACAGAAGCCATTCCTTACAACAACCACCTTTTGCAACATCCCTCCATTTCTTGCAACAATTCTAGCTGATAAATTACCCTTCACCAGATAATGCAAAATTGCTTCGGTGCTTCTGTCTACCAAGAGCATCTCCAGACTTTGCTTGAGGCCCAAAGAGGATGCTCTGGCAGGTCGTTTTCGGTGATGCAGGATCCAGGCATTTCGTACAACACTGTGCAGGTGAGTGACGGGATATTTAGAGGAGGGTGGGAGGAGGGAAGGGAGATTGGAAGGGAAATGGAGGAGGGGAGGAGGAGGAGGAGGAGTGGAAGGGAGGAGTAGAAGGAGGTGTAAGGGTGGAGGGAAATGGAGTCAGGGAGGAGGAGAAGAGAGAATGGAAGAGAAATGGAGTCAGGGAAGAGGAGAAAGGGTGTTCGTACAACACTGTGCAGGTGAGTGACGGAATATTTAGAGGAGGAGGAGGAGTGGAAGGGAAATGGAGGAAGGGAGGAGGAGAAGGAGGAGTGGAAGGGAAATGGAGGAAGGGAGGAGGAGAAGGAGTGGAAGGGAAATGGAGGAGGGAAGGAGGAGGAGGAGTGGAAGGGAAATGGAGGAGGGAAGGAGGAGGAGGAGTGGAAGGGAAATGGAGGAGGGGAGGAGGAGGAGGGGTGGAAAGGAAATGGAGGAGGGGAGGAGGAGAAGGTGTGGAAGGGAAATGGAGGAAGGGAGGAGGAGAAGGAGGAGAAGGGAGAATGGAAGAGAAATGGAGGAGGGGAGGAGGAGAAGGGGTGTTATTACAACACTGTGCAGGTGAGTGACGGGATATTTAGAGGAGGGGGGAAGGAGGGAAGGGAGAATGGAAGGAAAATGAAGGAAGGGAGGAGGAGAAGGAGGAGAAGAGAGAATGGAAGAGAAATGGAGGAGGGGAGGAGGAGAAGGGGTGTTCGTACAACACTGTGCAGGTGAGTGACGGGATGTTTAGAGGAAGGGAGAAATAGGGAACGGAGATTGGAAGGGAAATGGAGGAGGGGAGAAGGAGAAGGAGGAGAAGGGAGAATGGAAGGAAAATGGAGTCAGAGAGGAGGAGAAAAAGGAGGAGAAGGGGTGGAAGAGAAATGGAGGAGGGGAAGAGGAGAAGATGGAGAAGGGAGAATGGAATGGAAATGGAGGAGGGGAGGAAGGCTAAGAGAGGAAGAAAGGGAGTAGGGGTGAGA